CATAACAGAAAGTATTGAGGAAGCAGAATCCAACATAATGCCAGCCGCACAACCGCAAACTCCCAGACAGTGCTGTGAGCCCAACGGAGAGATGGAGCCCAAGGACCCTGACCGGCCTGGCAAGCTCTGGTCACAAACCCCCAGCCAAGAGATGAGGCATCCGTGAACCATTCAGGGGGAAGGGGAAAGTGCCATGGCACCAAACCCCAAAGAGGAAGCCAGTGACTCGGCAACTTACAGAAAGACACGGGTGCGAACCCAGCGATCGCGGGAGAAGTGAAAGGGTCTGTCCCAAAGATACCTGCATGATGTGGTTCTGGGAGTTGTTCTACTCCCCAAGCCTGGCCTGAGGCCAGGCTTGACTTGTGAGAGCTTGATCCACGAAGCTGTTGCTTGGAGCAGCCCGCAGGTGCACATATCCACCACAGCCAGGTTGGTCTGGCACTCCTTGGAGAAAATTATCTAGTTTTCTCTTAAAGATGTCCACAGTTGTTCTGGCAATATTTCTTATACTCACTGCGAGGATGTTGAACACCCGTGGACCTCTGATGTTTATACAGTGTTCTCTGATTGTGCCTATGGCACCCCTGGTCTTCACTGGAGCAGCAAGACCAGAACAGCCTCTAAAGCCAAACCCCGCCCAGCGGGTAAACCAACATGGCAAAGTCCAGGCTCTGCATAACCAATCGAGCAACCGCCGAGCGACCTGGATCCCCCCAAAACAGCTGAAGGCAGGACTGCAACTAAACCAACACCATAGCAAAGAGAGAGAGATGGACACAGTCCGCAAATCCAACAAAAAGTCCAGCCAAGTTGGAACCTGAGAAGGAACCAACTGTGACTTCCGCCAATTCACCGGGAACCCGAACCAGGCAAACTGGGAAAAAACAGATTCCTGGCTAGCAGACACCCAGCGTGGCCTGGAGCCCACACCAACCAGCCACGAAAGACGGCTTCCAGCCAGGAAGGCACCGGAACCGCGAACAGCCCCATACCAAGGGAAGAGGAACCGAAACTAAACAAAACCAGAACCAACAGAGGTGAAACCGAGTCTCACTGGAAGCACACACCAAAAGCCTCCAAACTCCTCAAGGGGAATACAAGAGGAAGAAAACCTCCTTAACCCTTGTGATGTTCAGGGCTAATTAGCATTTGTCACCCACAGGCACATACCAAAAAAAAAAATATATATATTATTTTTTCTTCTAAACCTGTTAATTTGTGTTTTCTGATCATGGGAAAAATAATAAAAATATCGTAAGTGGCATATATTGCCCGCTATAGGGCGGGGAAGTCTGGCAAAAAACAGGCGCTGACTCAGCGTGCGTCCCAGGTGGTCTTTTGCTCTCCAGCTGTCAGACAGGAGTGGCCACAAAGGGATAATTACCTAATTATTTCAATGTCTCCGATTGATTTTTCGTAGTTTTTTGCTGTAATATTATTCAATAGTGTGTAGTGTAATATATTTATATAATAAAATGAGTGAATCATCGCTGTACTCAAAAATATGGTGTACATATTGTTGATTCAATTATTATGTTCATCAAACAGTGAACAAATACTTTGTTGGCTATTACACTACATACACAGGTTATATATAAGTATCTGCATGTTTTGTTCACCATAACAAACCACTAAGTTGGTATTATGAGTCAAAAAGCAACAAGGAGTGACTGCCACACATCAGCCAGCCACTTGCTGCCACTCGCTCCCTCAGCACCTCACTCGCCCACATTCTCCTCCCACCATACTGTTTTTGCTTTTATTCACTATATACAGATGTTATATATAAGTATCTACATTCGTGTTCACTATAATGAACCACTAAGTTGGCATGCTGAGTGGCAGTGGCAGTGGCAGCCAGTGGCAGCCCGCCACTGGCTGCTACCTCCTCCCTCCCTCAACTCACCTGACTCACCCACATTCTCCTCCCACAATACTTTTTTTGCTTTTATTCACTATATACAGACATTATATATAAGTATCTACATGTTTTGTTCACCACAACTGTACAACTAAGTTGATATAGTTAGTTCAGGCACTATGGAGCCGTCGCTACACACAGTCAGGTGCGGCTGCTTCTCTCACACATTCAAGGTCAGACACACTAAATATTTCACCCCCAACAATTCAACTAAGCCGGTATAATGCCCAAAGAGCATAGTGGCCACCCCTACTAACATGATAAATCATGCAGATGTTGCCACACCCATCACCAAAATGGCTTCTTCCCCCACACTCCTTTTGCTCTTATTACACTGTATATACACATTATGTGTAAGTACAGTATCTACATTCATGTTCACCATAACGAACCACTAAGATGGTATGCTGAGTGGCAGTGGCAGCCAGTGGCGGGGCTACCACTGGCTGCCACTCCCTCCCTCACCTCACCTCACCTGACTCACCACCATTCTCCTCCCACCATACTGTTTTTGCTTTTATATACAGACGTTATATATAAGTATCTGCATGTTTTGTTTACCATAGCGAACAACTAAGCTGGTATAGTGAGTCCAGACAGTAAAAGGTGGTTACACAGAGTCAGCAGACAATACTACCTCCCTCCCCACCAAGATTACTCCTCCCACTACAGCGCTAATTATCACAACAATCCTACTATTATCAGAATCCTGGTCATTTTTATTACAGTCATGGGTCTTCTGTAATAATAGCATCGCTAAATAATAGCATGAACATGTATATTATGACATTTTTAGGCGATGCTGTGGTTACAAGCTGAACAGCAGTGCTGTGAGCTCATGCTGCGTGCGTCAGGCTTGGTTGCTCACTCAATACTGAGGCCCTCACACCCGGGAATTTTGCCCACGATTTTTTTTGTAAATGGCGTCTGTTTACAAGAGCCCTAAAAAGTGAGGTGAACCCCGTGTATCTGCGGGCCGTTTAAATCTTGCGTAGTACTCCAATACATCATATGATGGGATGCGCAATTTATAGCAAGTCACTCAACCCATCATATGATGTGTTGCGCAACTTAAGGGTTAAAGACGAAACCGAGGACACCCGGAAACAAACCCAGGGTGAGCCCTACCTACGACATTGGCCGGCAGAAAAGACGCACCATGGGAACGAAGGTTCATTAGTTGGTCATATTGAAAAACTTTAAAATTTATTTTTATTTGTAACCCCGATAAAAAGAGCTCCATGGCAAAAATTAACAGGATAATGGGTCGGAGGCGCAGGAGCCGGATGAATATACAGGGCAAGGACACCAGGCACAAACCAGTGCCCAGAAGAAAAAGAAAACACTCCAATGAGCGGGCTCTCCCTCCCCCCTGTCGGGGAAGGAGAGGCACTAATGAGCGGGCGTGCTAGTTGGATGATGATTTGATTGTTTCGTTATTTTCTCTTTTTGGGGGGAGTTCTTTGGCTCTGTTCGGATGTAGGTTGCAATTTAACTAGTTGGAGGTTTGTATTGTTTCGTCTACCTTTCTTGTGGTATCCCCGGTCGATGGCAGACATGACAAACTCTAAACGTAGAGTGCTCATATGGCTATTGCTCCCTGTGCCTCTCTGAGTGGACCAAGTTCTGGCTCTGGTCTCTGGTAAGCACACAGAACTCTAGAGACTAATGACACCAAACTAATATGGCACATGTCAGTTTGGATAGCTTCAGGGAGCCGGAAGTCCCAAGACCCCCGACGTACCCCATGGGTACATCCTCCAGCAAGGAAGCTTCAATAGTGAGTGATTCCCGAATGCCCCAGGGAAGATAACCCTGAAATGCAAGGGTAGTATCTGTACTTACGGAACACCTTGGGAAGGAGACCCTAGGCACATGTAGCTCCTGTACACTATGAGACCTGGCCACATCACAACACACACATTTGGAAAAGCCACTCAGAGCAAAAATCCAGAACAGGAAATTGAGGCCAGAGGTGACAATCTGACCGCCAACACAAGAACTGTAGTGGTGGGCTGCCGGCTCACTTTAGCTGGCTCCCCCTCCCGCTTTCGGGAGGAAGGGGGGGTTGCATTAATGAGCGGGAGTGCATGTTGCATGAAGTGTTGCTTGTTTGTTTTATTTTTTTGGAGAGTTCTTTTGCTCTTTCCGGACATAGGCTGCAATTTTTACCAGACTGTGGTTGGTTTTGTTTCACTATATTTTTGGGTGACTTCCCTGGTTGATGACAAGTACGACATTCTTTAAATGTAAAGTGCTCATAGGCCATTGCTCCCTGTGCCTCTCTGAGGGGGCCAGGTTCTGGTTTATGGTCCCCGGTAAGCAAAGGACTCCTGTGACTGATGACCCAAAACTAATATAGCACTGTATCAGTTCAAATAGCTTCAGGAAGATGATGGGGCTCCCCATAGAAATATAATTTTGTAAACACTTAATGTACAGTAAATAAACTACATACTAGTGCAGAACAGTACACAAACTTCCTGCTAGTGCAGAACAGTACACAAACTTCCTGCTAGTGCAGAACAGTATACAAACTACACACTAATGCAGAACAGAACACACGCTACAAATGGTAAATCAACAGACAGTTGAAATTGACGAACTGTGGTTCTATTTATGAATGACTACACATTTACTTTTCAAGTTATATCCACAAATGCACACAGTACTGTGATTTAGTTTCCTACACTCCCTAAGAGTCGTAATGGACGATGACAAACTAAAAAATATATTTTACATATTAATTAATGCAAAGTAATAAGGCCAAATATCTCTAAAATTATGATCAATTAAAGGATCTGAATATTCTGTTTATGTACTTATGCAGGCTTATCTTCCTATTGAATGCCAATGCCCTAAGAAAGCCATAAGGGTGCGAGTGCAATAAGAATGCCTCAAGCCTGAGAAAGATCAAAATAATTTACCAAAAGCAAATGCTCAATCAATACTTTCCCTAAAGTGGCATATAATATCTACAGCAACGTTACATTGGACTCCATAACACTAATTACCTGTATAAGTAATTAGATTACTACATGAGAACAATAAATTAAGATGCTCTACCTAAACTCACCATCATTAACAACATAAGCCAATTTTCTATTGACGATTTCCTGAACGAAGGAAATGATGTGAGGAACATGTTCTGTTACTCTTGGTGCAAGAGAAGGACGAAGGACTCGCAGCTTATCCATGTCTGCGAAGAATTCCTGCTCGTATAATTCAGTAATCTCCTTGAAGTTAACTTTGAGCTAGAAAATAGAGACAAACATGAGGGATATTATAACCACAATGAAAGGTCACTCACAAGTCATTGACAGAACGCATAGCTGAAACAGTCGACTTTGTCATTAATTTTAAGATTTCAAGCACCAGTTACAGAGCATTAAATACCATATTTTCCATCATATTATACACATCACTACTTAAAGAACCTCCCCTATTTACAAAGATATTTTGTGGGGAAATAACCGGCATTGAATGTAATGAAATGCCCTTTTCTGGGTGAGTCCTGGAGGCTCCCCGGAGTTATCCAGGCTGAATGGATATGTATAACTTTCTGGCATCAGTCAATGCATGGAGTTCCTGCCTACCAGGAACCACGAGCCAGAACCTGGCCCCCTCTAGAGAGGCACGAGGAGCAATGGCTTATAGAGAACCCCCTTGTGGTTGGGAGTATTTTATGTCTGCCATCGACCGGGGATAGGCACCCAGAAAGGTAGGTGCCCCAAAACAAACCCCTATTCTAGTAAAACTATTGCGACCAAAGACCAAACATGTGGACAGAACTCCCCAAACTAAAATTAGCCAACGAGCATGACGCCATCACATTACCGCGCCGCTGTCTGCATAATCCCCCCTCCCCGAGAAAGGAATGGCGGAGCCCCAGACCCATTCGCCAGTGACCCAACCTTTAGTTCTTAGGCTGGATGTCAAAAACACGAAAACACCGCTGACCAGAGGGAGGAAGGGAGGAAGGGATGCTGCGGAGCCTCCGGGACTCACCCAAAAAATGGTATTTCATTACATTTAACGATGGTTTTCTGGGGGAGCCCTGTCGGCTCCCTGGAGCTAACTACCCAAAGATAAGGAAAAACAGGGACTTACCCGGGAGTCCTCACTCATCAACACGAAGTTGAGACAACTGGCTGCAACCCAATGCAATGCAGGCCTGACGAGGCCCAGGAACATTCACCAGGTAGCGAGCGGCCAGGACCCTGTTCGACCTCCTAAAACCCCGGGTCCAAATGTCCACCCAAGACATGCTGCCAAAGATGGCAGTCAAAGCAGCAAACTTACGAACGTCATGGGCCTGGGGATAGACCACAGGCTGGCTAGATTTAATAATTCCCTGAGACCCGAGCATGGGAACAGGGAAGAAGGAAAATTGGATCAACCCAGAGCACATCACCGGCTACCGAACCCGTGGCGCAAATAACGGCGGAGCCGCAACCAGACATAATACACAATGCACCCCCAGCCTGACCAACCAAGCATCAATGACCCAAGACCCCCTCCAGAACGCAGCCATCTCATTCTTTGCCAGAAAAGAGGGAGACGGTTGCAAGTGAACAAAACGACCACCAGGACCGAAGGAGCAGAAACCCCTGCGCTGGAGGAGAGCATGAAGTTCCCCAACCCAACCCCCAGAGGCAAATGCCAAAAGGAAGAACGCCTTTGAAAAACAACCTCGAATGGATGGGGCCACAACAAACCGAGGAGGAGAAGAGAGAAACGAGAGCACGCAGTCCAAGGATCAGAACGGCTTAGGTGGTGCATGAGCAGGCCGGAGGTGAAACAACACATGAGACAGCTTGCAAAATGGGGCAGAAGTAACATCAACACAGGGCTAATACATTGTATGTACTAGCCCTATCTATAAATCCATCAATCTTTGTAAAATCTCTTGGACGTATGTACCTTACCTAAATAAACATTTACTTTTATTATTTATTTAGAACCCCGACAAGCACCCCTGACCAAGGAACTTGCAGGTACAAAGATACGAAACGGTCGAGGCCCTACGTACTAGGCCAAGATAGAAATCCATCAATGTTTGTTACACACCTTGTATGGATGTACCTTACCTGAACACTTTTTTTTTTTTTTGTGAACAGCATCGCGACATAAGAGCGAAAAGGGTAAGGAAAAGGGGGTGAAACACACCCCCATGAACGACGGGACCGACGAACCCGAAGGAACACGGAACCGAACCCAGGGAGGGATATACCCGAAAACAACAGGAACAAAGAGGGAAGGAACAACCCCACTCTGAGGAACTGCCAGCACCACACCAAAAGTACAAGGACCCAAGAGGGGCAAACGGGGCCGAGGCCCCTCAGGTAACCCCTCCCTAACCCAAGGAACCTCTACGGCATGACCCAGGGCCGAGCCGCACCCCCAAAGCCCCAGCTTAACAAGGAAAAGCCGGGGCAGCCGTGCAAACACTAATGAAGGGAGCCCACTAGTCAGACCCATACGGCACGGCTGGAGGAACCGACTCGAATGCATCCGCCGCCACCCCGGAAGAGGAAAACCCCCAAGTCTCAACCCAACCAGACCCCGCCCCAACCCCGAAACCCTCCTATGGTTTGGAGCAGGAAGCAAGGGAGGAAGTGAGTAGAACAGAAGGGGAGGAACAAGAAGCGGAAGGAGCCAGAGCCGAAGCGACCCCCACCCCAAAGTCCAGACCCCAACCACCAAAACGGGGCAGCCTCGGGGCATCCGGGGCCGCAAACCAAGAGTGTTGCAGCAACACACACCCAGCAAGCAACGCCACAGTTGCCTGCACCTGATTATCAAGACCAGTGGCCTGGGTGAAGGAGAGCGCGTACCGACAACAATCATCGGACGACTCCGGGTCACAAGAACAAGGACCCAACAGGCAGCATGGCGGAGGCACAACAGACGAGTGTCACCCTGAGACAAGGGGACAGATCAACCGTCAAACTCGCAGGATGCGAGGGGGACTCCGGGGACACATCTAGGGGACCACGGAGCCCCCGTGGGGTTTCGCAGGGCCCTTAGCCTTTGGTACATGCTAAGGGAAGCCCAGGCAGGGTACCGCGAACCGGCGCCCAAATCTACCAACAAACTGCTAAAGCTGAACCCCCTGGACGTGTCCACTCACGGGGACCAAGCGGGGAGTACCGCCTACAGAAGAATTCGAAAGAAATTCACCTAGAACAGGAAAGGGGGACCATAGTAAAAGCAGACCCCCACTAGGCAAAAACAAAAACAAAAGAAAAACCCCGCAAGAGGATAACGTACCCAGGCAGAACAGAGCCAGCCGCTGTTAATGGTGAAAACTAGCTGTGCAGTACCCTGCGCCCCTACCAGTGACAAAAACTACCACCTACCCAGAGACAAACCAGGGCAACAAAACCCCAGCTGACTCCAAGGGCAGCCCAGTACCGAGCAGTAAAGGACACAGCGGAGGCAGAACCCAAGGTGACTTGTGGGAGGTGGCCCCAAGCCCCAAGGGCAGTACTTACAGGGCACCTAGGGAAGATAGCCCTAGGCACATGCAGCCCGAGTACTGTGGAATCTTACTCCTGGCTCACACCCCACCGGTAGAGACAGTCCACACCACAAGGCACAGAACTGAAACAAAAACCGGAGCCAGAGGCACTCGACCAGCCAGTATGACAATCAGCCAAGAACTGCCAGTTGGATCGCCGGCGTGGAGGGTCTGGGGCTCCCCCTTCCCCCTCTCGGGGAGTGGGGGGGGGGGGTTGCGCAGACGGTGGCGCGGCGACGTGATGACGTCATGCTAGTTTGATAATTTTGTTTTTGGAGTTCTGTCCACTCGTTCGGCTTTCGGTAGCAATAATTTCACCAGAATAGGGGGTTTGTTTTGGGGCGCCTACCTTTCTGGGTGCCTGTCCCGGTCGATGGCAGACAGAATGCTCCCAATCACAAAGGGGTTTCTATAGGCCATTGCTCCTCATGCCTCTCTGAGGGGGCCAGGTTCTGGCTCGTGGTCCCCGGTAGGAAAGAACTCCTAGCACTTTGACTGATGCCAGAAAGTTATACATATCCATTCAGCCTGGATAGCTCCGGGGAGCCGACACGGCTCCCCCCAGAAAAGGCACTAAAGACACATGCAAGGTGACCAAACACCCCAGTCAGGAGCCATCGATGCAATCCCGCCAAGCGGGGAAGAGTAAACAAGGATGGAACAGTGAACAAGGGTGGCGGAGTGAGTAGAGTATCCCAAGAAGATACTTGCTCCAAACGCATGAGCCTAACCAGAGAAGCAAAGCTCTCCAAAGTACCAACGATGGAACTCAAACCGTTCCGTACGTCCAAGGAAAAGTCCTGCCAGTCCTGTAGAGAACTGTGAGGCAGCACCCAAGCATATAACCAGCAGAGTAGCAAAGAATAACTAGACTACCTGCAAGTGTGGTCTAGAATAGACATGCGAGACACCGTACCGACACTCAGAGCACCCAACGCGCACCATTGCCCGCCAAAATATCACCCGCAACTACTGAATACGCAACAAAAGATAACTAGTTCCTTAGTGTTTGTGTTTATTGACCAATCCCCATGAAACAATAGAAACTGGGATAGTGGCACAAGCCACCCTTGCGGCACATTGTGGGCACGAAACAACAGGCATAAAAGGGATAAGCGCAGAATCATGAAAGACCGGAGGAATGACCTGCACTGTAATAGGCCCGGTGACTCGCGGAACCAATTACCACGTAACGTGGTAGTGGGGCCCCACGATTGGTGCAAGGACGGGTTGGACATGTACGTGAGTGGGAATGGATGGTAAGAAACAGAAGCCACCTCACACGGGCCAAGAGGCCCTCCGCAGGTCCACTGTACCTATGTCCGTATGTTTGTACGCACAAGGGGACACAGGAGGTAGTGAGCACCCAAAGGAGCCACAGACACGAAAAGAACCTGATTAATGGCAGAGGGAAAGGAAGCGAAAAGCACCAAAAAGCCATGTGGAGGAGGCAGACGCCACCCACAGGAGCAAACGTGAAGACAGAGCCCAGAAGGCTCAGGAAACTGCACAATCGTCAACCGACAGGAGAAGTGGAGCCCAAGAGCCAGAGTCAACCCCTGTAAGCACAACTAGGCAAGCACCCCACCAAAAGTGAGAACCAGCACTAGGCCGACAGAAGCTCCAGACAAGACAACCTCACCTGCAGAGCAGACACACGACCGTGCCACAACACAGGCGAGCCAAGTAACATACCAGGAGCAGCGCTAAAGGTGTGCCCGAAAGCCATGCATACTCGAGGCAGTAGGCATAGTATGTACCCTTACCTGAATAAAACGCGAGGTCGAAGGAGAAATACAGCCAGAGGTGCGCGCCCTGCAGAAGACGAAGCAGTACAGAGGGAGAATAAAGTGACACCCCCAGATATAAATCCAAAACACCCTCAGCATCCAGAGGGCCACGACTGGAGGGAGAAATGAGCAAGAAGCCGTAGAAAACCACGAGAAACGACGCGAACACACGAGCATACCGCCCGTAAACAAAACGCACACCGCGGCCCCAGCACACGAGGTACGAAACGCACCACCCGTCCACCGGTTGGCGTGGCTCGTACATCAGGCGGACACACATCGTACAGACATCGTACAAACACCAGGAAGGCGTGCGGAACGAAGACAAAGAACTCCGAAACTGGAAGTGGAGACGATGCGAAAACAAAACAAGGCGAAAACGAAGCGAAAGAAAACAGATGATGGAAGGGAACCAACAAGGCCGACAAAAGACCCGATGGAAACCACATCGAAAATCAACAGACGTTCCAATAATATTGGAAGGTACGAAGAGACTCGCGAACCAACGAGAACCACAACAAGCACCCCTGACCAAGGAACATGCAGGGACAACGATACGAAGCGGTTTAGGCACTATGTACTAGGTCAATATAGAAATCCATCAATATTTGTTTCACACCTTGTATGGATGTACCTTACCTGAACACTTTTTTTTTTTTTGTGAACAGCATCACGACATAAGAGCAAAAAGGGTAAGGAAAAGGGGGTGAAACACCCCCACGAACGACGGGACCGACGAACCCGAAGGAACACGGAACCGAACCCAGGGAGGGGTATACCCGAAAACAACAAGAACACAAGAGGGAAGGAACAACCCCACTGAGGAACTGCCAGCCCCACACCAAAGGTACAAGGACCCAAGAGGGGCAAACGGGGCCGAGGCCCCCCAGGCAACCCCTCCCTAACCCCGGGAACCTCTACGGCATGACCCAGGGCCAAGCCGCACCCCCAAAGCCCCAGCTTAACAAGGAAAAGCCGGGGCAGCCGTGCAAACACTAATGAAGGGAGCCCACTGGTCAGACCCATACAGCACGGCTGGAGGAACCGACTCGAATGCCTTCGCCACCACCCCGGAAGAGGAAAACCCCCGAGACCGTCCGAGCCTCAACCCAACCAGACCCCGCCCCAACCCCAAAACCCGCCTATGGTTCGGAGCAGGAAGCAAGGGAGGAAGTGAGTAGAACAGAAGGGAAGGAACAAGAAGCCGAAGGAGCCAGAGCCGGAGCCCCACCCCCAAGTCCAGACCCCAACCACCAAAACGGGGCAGCCTCAGGGCATCTGGGGCCGCAAACCAAGAGCGTTGCAGCAACACACACCCAGCAAGCAACGCCGCAGCCGCCTGCACCTAATTATCAAGACCAGTGGCCTGGGTGAAGGAGAGCACGTACTGACAACAATCATCGGACGACTCCGGGTCACAAGGACCCAACAGGAAGCATGGCGGAGGCACAACCGGTGAGTGTCACCCTGAGACAAGGGGACAGATCAACCGTCAAACTCGCAGGACGCGAGGAGGACTCCGGGGACACACCTAGAGGACCACGGAGCCCCCGTGGGGTTTCCCAGGGCCCTTAGCCTTTGATACACGCTAAGGGAAGCCCAGGCAGTGTACTGCGAACCGGCGCCCAAATCTACCAACAAACTGCTAAAGCTGAACCCCCTGGACGTGTCCACTCACGGGGGCCAAGCGGGGAGTACCGCCAACAGAAGAATTCGAAAGAAATTCACCTAGAACAGGAAAGGGGGACCATAGTAAAGGCAGACCCCCACTAGGCAAAAACAAAAACTAAAGAAAAACCCCGCAAGAGGACAACGTACCCAGGCAGAACAGAGCCGGCCGCTGTTAATGGTGAAAACTAGCTGTGCAGAACCCCGCGCCCCTACCAGTGACGAAAACTACCACCTACCCAGAGACAAACCAGGGCAACAAAACCCCAGCTGACTCCAAGGGCGGCCCAGTACCGAGCAGTAAAGGACACAGCGGAGGCAGAACCCAAGGTGACTTGTGGAAGGTGGCGCCAAGCCCCAAGGGCAGTACTTACAGGGCACCTAGGGAAGATAGCCCTAGGCACATGCAGCCCAAGTACCGTGGAATCTTACTCCTGGCTCACACCTCACCGGTAGAGACAGTCCACACCACAAGGCACAGAACTGAAACAAAAACCGGAGCCAGAGGCACTCGACCAGCCAGTAATACCATCAGCCAAGAACTGCCAGTTGGATCGCCGGCGTGGAGGGTCTGGGGCTCCCCCTTCCCCCTCTCGGGGAGGGGGGGGTTGCGCAGACGGTGGCGCGGTGACGTCATGCTAGTTTGATAATTTTGTTTGAAGAGTTTTGTCCACTCGTTCGGCTTTCGGTAGCAATAATTTCAACAGAATAGGGGTTTGTTTTGGGGCGCCTACCTTTCTGGGTGCCTGTCCCGGTCGATGGCAGACATAGAATGCTTCCAATCACAAAGGGGTTTCTATAGGCCATTGCTCCTCGTGCCTCTCTGAGGGGGCCAGGTTCTGGCTCGTGGTCCCTGGTAGACAAGAACTCCTAGCACTTTGACTGATGCCAGAAAGTTATACATATCCATTCAGCCTGGATAGCTCCGGGGAGCCGACGGGGCTCTCCCCAGAAAGCCAATGTTGAATGTACTGTAATGAAAAGCCATTTTCTGGGCAAGACCCAGAGACTCCCAGGAGCTATCCAGGCTGAATGGATATGTATAACTTGCTGGCTGGCATCAGTCAGTGTGCATGGAGTTCTTGCCTACTGGGGACCATGAGCCGGAACCTGGCCCCCTCAGAGAGGCACGAGGGGGAGATTTCACTACAAGACAGCATGACAAAGAAACCAAGAAAGAGAGAGAGAGAGAGATTTTAGTACAAGACTGCATGGCCGAAGGATTGAGGAAGAGGACAACAGCAAGAATGATGAACCTCCTGTAAATCCCTTAGGGCCAATACAGAACATGGTAAGCAGAAGAGCAAAGAAATCAAACCAGGATCAGAATAGAATCCAGTCAAACATTTTTTAATATCTCCAATTTTCACTATAATATATCCAGTTCAATCTACAATACAGTACCTCTAAATCATCCAACTTACATTTGTCAAGGCAAAACTGAACTACAGTATACTTGCCTCCTTTGCTCTCTTGATTATTTTGTCATCTATATCTGTGATACCAACCACCATCACAACATTGAGGTCAAACATTCTTGAAAGGATTCTTCGTATAATATCAAACTTTACGTAACACCTGAAAGATATAGCATTAACTTAAAAAATACTTAACCAATTTATTCAAAATAAGTTGGAAAATCTTGTTTAGCTAAAGCCAAGAACCTAAAATTACTGAAACAATTTCTAAATTTTTGTCATTCATCATCCCTCCATGTCTATACACCATATAGCATATATGGTGTATAGACTTCTCTTCCCTCTCTTCCCACTATTTTATTATGTATAGAATCACCATGATGAGAATATACAGTACTGTCAAGGAAATTTCAGCAACAGCTGTATTTACTACTACTTAATCAATACTTGACAAATCTAAATTCTGAAATATTTAACCACAAAGCTGTAATCCCAAATTTTAAATTATACAGTAATTACTATTACTTTCATCAATATTATAACTAAAGTAATTACAGTAATATTATAACTACAGTAATTACAGTAATATTACTGTACTACAGTAATATTATTATTATTAGTGACTACAAAGGAGAAGTAATGAGTGTTAGCCAGTCCAAGTGTATGAACCCAATTGTATACAGTATATAAAAACGTTCTTTATGGTATGATATTTGATATTTTTGTCCTGCATTTACATGAATGTATTTCTGCGATGTGTAGCACATATGAAGGGGACAGACTGGAAGAACACAAAGGAAAACATGAACCAACTAAAATTCCCCAAACAGAAACACTGACTGGCCATGGTATCTCTCATAACTTTTCTGAAAGGATATTTTCTTTAATAATATGCTGCATTCATCCTATTAATATGTGAGATATTAAATATTATAATTTTTGGCTTGGAATGTGCTTCTCACATTGACTATGAATAAGAATATATAAGTGCAATAAAAAACCAGCGTTGAATGTAATGAAACGCCATTTTCTGGGTGAGTCCCAGAGGCTCCCGGAGCTATCCCAGGCTGATATGCTAATGTCAGACTTTGGCATCAGTCATGTGTATGGAGTTCTTAGGCCTACCGGGGACCACGGCCAGAACCGGGCCCCCTCAGAGAGGCAAGGGGAGCAATGGCCTATAGAAGCCCCCGTGTGGTTGGAAGCATTCAATGTCTGCCATCGACCGGAACAGGCACCCAGAAAGGTAAGCGCCTCAAAACAAACCCCTATTCTGGTTAAAATTGCTACCATAAGCCGAACTAGTGGATAGAACTCTCCAACCGAAAACAAGCAAACTAGTGTGACGTCACACATCGCCGCGCCGCTTTCTGCGCAGCTCCCCCCTCCCCGGGAGGGGGAAGGGGGAGCCCCAGACCCTCCACGCCGGCTACCCACACCTCAGTTCTTGAGGCTGGATGTCAAAAACGCAAAAAAAAAAAAAAACGACAACCGGGGGGAGGGAGCGTTGCCGGGGAGCCTCCGGGACTCACCCAGAAAATGGCGTTTCATTACATTCAACGCTGGTTTTCTGGGGGGAGCCGCGTCGGCTCCCCAGAGCTAACTACTTACAGACGGAAAAAGAGGGACTTACCCGGGAGGCGGTCGTCGCTCACTCCTCAACTCGAAGCTGAGACAACTGGCTGCAACTGCCGACCCAAAGCAACACAGGCCCGATGGGGCCCAGGGACATTCACAAGGTAACGAGCAGCCAGGACCCTGTTCGACCTCCAAAATCCCCGCGCCCGAATATCAGACCAAGACATATTCCCAAAGATGGCAGCAAGAGCCGCGAACTTACGAACGTCATGGGCACGGGGATAGACCGCAGGCTGGCTGGACTTAAAAACCCTGTGGACGACCTGGGAGACCCGAACCCGCAAACAGGAAAGAAGGGAAACCGGATCAACCCACAGCGCGTCCCCGGATACAGACGCCGTGGCGCGCAAATAACGGCGAAGCGCCGCAACCGGACACAAAACATGATGCACCCCTGGCCTGACCAACTAAGCATCAACCACCCATGGAACGCAGCAGTCTCATTCTTCACCAGAAAAGAAGGAGACGGTTGCAAACAAACAAAACAATCACCACGACCAAAAGAGCAGAAACCTCTGCGCAGGAGGAGAGCATGAAGCTCCCCTACCCGACCTCCAGAGGCCAAAGCCAACAAGAAAAGTGCCTTGTAAAAACAATCCTGGACCGAAGGGGCCACAACGAAACGAGGAGACGAAAGGAAAGCGAGCACTCTGTCCAAAGACCAGGACGGCTCAGGCGACGCATGAGCAGGTTGGAGGTGAAACAATGCACGAGACAGCTTGCGAAACGGAGCAGACGTAACATCGATACCGAAAGCAAGGTGAAGCGGCTCCGCCAGCGCCGCACGATACAAGGTGACAGTGTTAGGCATAAGATGACGGTCCTGAAACAACCACGAGAGGAAGGACAAGACCACCCGAACAGACAAGGAACTAACATGACGAAGACGCAAAAAGAAACAGAAGGACCGCCAGGAAACTTCATACTGCCGCCGAGAAGAAGCCCCTCAGGTGGGACACCAACAAGGAGGCCACCTGATCACCATAGAGACACGTCCCACTTACACTTGCGACGTGTACACTTACGAGGACCTAGCAGGGGGTGCCACCGAGAACAGTGGAAGGGCAAAAACAAACTGAATAAAATGACAGAACCCCCCCACCAGGCAAAAACAAAAAGAAAAACAAAACTCCGCAAGAGGACAGCGAACTCCAAGGAACAGAGCCGGCCACGATGTCGGGGATACAAGCTGTGCAGCACCCTGCGCCCCTACCAGTGCAAACTGCCTCTTACCTGCCGGTAACAAGGGAGAACAGAACACCCAAGAGCCCAACAGGAGGTTGAAAAACCGAAAGGTAAAACGGACCAGCAGAGGCAGACCCCGAGGAGCCTGTGGAAGGTGGCCCCAAGCCCCAAGGGCAGTACTTACAGGGCACCTAGGGAAGGCAGCCCTAGGCGCATGCAGCCCGAGTACTGAAGATAACTCCTGGCTCTCGCACCCACAAAACCAACACCACATGCAAAGCACAGTGCAGTAGCGACACCGGAGCCAGAGCACACGTCCATCGCCTATAGCATCAGCCTCAAGAACTGAGGTGTGGGTACCTGGCGTGGAGGGTCTGGGGCTTCCCCTTCTCCTTCCCGGGGAGGGGGGGAGCTGTGCAGACAGCGGCGCAACGGTGTGTGACGTCACACTAGTTTGTTTGTTTTCGGTTGGGGAGTTCTATCCACTAGTTCAGCTTTTGGTAGCAATTTTAACCAGAATAGGGGTTTGTTTTGAGGCGCTTACCTTTCTGGGTGCCTGTTCCGGTCGATGGGAGACATAGAATGCTTCCAACCACACGGGGGCTTCTATAGGCCATTGCTCCCCTTGCCTCTCTGAGGGGGCCCGGTTCTGGCCGTGGTCCCCGGTAGGCCTAAGAACTCCATACACATGACTGATGCCAAAGTCTGACATTAGCATATCAGCCTGGGATAGCTCCGGGGAGCCGACGGGGCTCCCCCCAGAAAACCAGTGTTGAATGTAATGAAACCCCCTTTTCTGGGTGAGTCCTGGAGGCTCCCCTTAGCTATCCAGGCTGAATTGATAAGTATAACTCTCTAGTATCAATGTGCATGGAATTCTTGCCTACCAGGGACCACGAGCCAGAACCTGGCCCCCCGCAGAGAGGCGCGAGGAGCAATGGCCTATAGAAACCCCCATGTGGTTGAGAGCATTCTATGTCTGCCATTGACTGGGTCTGACACCCAGAAAGGTAGGCGTCCCAAAACAAGCCCCTATTCTGGTAAAACTATTGCTACCGAAAGCCGAACGAGTGGACAGAAAATAATGTATCTATAACATATCTCATGTGTATCACCACTGATACCACCAACAACAAAGTTGTTACTAATAATGACTTAAACTTAAAGTTACTTAAAACTACTTAATGCCGCCACAACCTTCGCCTTAATGTTAACGAGTACTTTACAGTGACCGACAGCAAAGGTCACTGGTCATGGGAGAGTTAAAGGTGGCACAAGGCAGGGGGGGAGGTGAGAATACAGTCGCCTTCCACTATTCACTGGCAACTCTTTATGAATGACTAACAGGAATGAATGGATGCACCAGATGGACAGTTCAGTATTATATATTCATTTAATTAAGTTCAATATAAAAATCCTAATCTATCTTCCCTATCAAGGAAATAGAATTATTAACAATTATAATGCTAGAACATAAGGGACCAGTACTCACTCAAGTTACAGCAGTGATGAAGCTTCCGTGTAGACACCAGATTGTCAGTCTCCCTCCCCCCCCGTGATGCCCAACACTACACCCCAGACTCCTATATCGTCTGAAACACAGAACACAACTCTCCTCTCCCTGATTGATTGATTGATGAAGATTAAGCCACCCAAAAGGTGGCACGGGCATGAATAGCTCGTAAGTGGTGGCCTTTTTGAACCATTACCAGTATCAATAGGTGATACTAGAGATCTGTGGAGGTGCGACTGCACCCTACGTGACGGGAGATGTCTACCGTATCCTCCTCTCCCTCTCTCGTGATGAGCTTTTATACCTGTCTATCCCCAAATTCCGTTGAATGGACGGATTTGAATCTGATAACAAGGCATAGCCTTCCAACCTTTGAAACTACTCGAGGTGAGGTTCGTGTCACCTTACCTCACTTTCCTGTGAATGCCACGTAAGTCTGGTACCATTCCAAGTCTCAACTCAAATCACCTCAACAACTGTTACAAGAACTCCCCTAACGAAAATTAGCAAACTAGCATGACATCATGACGTTGCTGCTCCGCTGTCTACGCAAACCCCCCCCCTCCCCGGGAGGGGGAAGATGGAGCCCCAGACCCCCGCGCTGGCGATTCAACCACCAGTTCTTAGGCTGGATGTCAAAACACATGAAAAACACCGCCGACTGGAGGGAGGGATGCCGCAGAGCCTCCAGGACTCACCCAGAAAATTCGACTGCCAAAAACTCCGAGCCCGAATGTCCACCCAAGACATGTTGCCAGAGACGGCAGCCAAAGAAGCAAACTTATGAACGTTTTGGGAATGGGGGTAGATCTCAGGCTGGCTAGACTTAATAACCCTGCGGACGACCCGAGAGACCCGAGCTTGGGAACAGGGAAGGAAGGAAACAGGTGGCCAGGGATGAAACTGGGTCAACCCAAAGGTTGACCCAGTTTCATCCCTGGCCACCAAAGCTGTAGTATGCAAATAACGGCGGAGAGCCGTAACTGGACGCAACACATGATGCACCCTCGGCCTGACCATTCAAACATCAACAACCCAAGGACCCCCTCGGGAAAGCAGCCATCTCATTCTTTACCAGAAAAGAATGAGACAGCTGCAACTGAACAAACCTACCACCAGGACCGAAGAAGCAGAAGCCTTTGTGCCGGAGGAGAGCATGAAGCTCCCCAACCTGACCCTCAGAGGCCAATGCCAACAGGAAAAAAAGAGCCTTAGAAAAACAATCCTGAACCGAAGGGGCCACCACAAACTGAGAAGACAGAAAAGAGAGCACCTGGTCCAAAGACCAGGATGGCTCTGGAGGCCCATGAGCAGGCCGGAGGTGAAACAATGCACAAGGCAGGTTGTGGAACGGGGCAGAAGTAACATCAACACCGAGCACAAGTTGGAGCGGTTCCACCAGCGCCGCATGATACGAAGCGACAGCATTCGGCATCAGATGACAGTCCTGGAACAACCACGAAAGGAAGGACAAAACAACACTATCAGAGACCGAAGAACACCTATGTGGTGATAGGAAAAACCAGAAGGACCGACAGGAAACATCATACTGCCGCCAAGACAAAGCACGCAGGTGGGACATCATCAAAGAAGCCACCAGTGCCCCATACAACTGATGATAATCACGAGTCAGAAACTCCAGACGTAAAGACTTGAGGAGAGGAACGAACCAGCCACGTAATGGGCTGGACCAATCTGCTGAAAGAGGCGGAGTTGCGGGAAGACCCTTGGGTTTGGATACCAAGCAAGCAGCGCCTGAATCCACGGCTTGGCCGGCCACTAAGAAGGCAGAAGGACAACTCTCCCCTGGTAAGTCTCCAAGGGAGCCAGGATCTGGAGCAACAGCTGAACTGGGGAAAAGAGGTACAGGTAACCCCACCTCACCCAGTCCTGCTGGAAGGTCGCGAGAGAGGCGGAAGGGACGTCCCTGAAGGAACCAGAACAGCCGTCAAAGCCACACCCGACCTGGCGGGCAGACCATCATGGCAAAGTTCAGTCTCATACACAAACCCTCGAGCAACCGCCACGTGACCCGGGAGCCCCTCAGAAACAGACGAAGGTGGGAATGCAAGCGAAGCAAAGCTGCCAGAGGTAGAGACAAGGAAGTGGTCCGACCATCCCACACAAGACCCAGCCAAGACCGAACCTGAGAGGGAACCAGATGGGACTTCTGCCAGTTCACCAAGAACCTGAACCCAACGAGCTGGGAAAGAATCAAATCCCTGGTGAGCAGACACGCAAACTGGCTGGGAGCCCAAACCAGCTAGTTGTCAAGGTAGGCCAGAACCCAAACACCCAACAGACTCAAGCAGGTCACCACGGCTCGAGTAAGGGGTGTGAAAATGCAAGGCGCTAGCTTCAAGCCAAATGGAAGGCAACGAAAATGGTAACCATGACGCCCCACAACAAAACCGAGCCAGTCCCTGAACCTCGGATGAACCAGGGCGTGCCAATGCCAATACGTGTCCTTGAGGTCTAGGGACACCATCCAAGCGCCCAGCTCCAACAAAAGTCGGACCTGGGACAGAGTATTCATCCCAATGGATGGGAAGTAAACCCATGGGTTCAGACGGGACAAGTTCAGAACGAACCGTAGTTCCGCGCAGACCTGTTTCAGGACCAGAAACAGGCAGGAAACCCACCTGAGAGGTAAGGTCGTTTCGACCACGCCCAAGCGAACCCACTTCGAGATGACTCAACAGAGCACAGAAGAAAAGGCCTGCCCTGCCAGCCCCGAACCCCCCGAAGGAGGAGGAGCCACCCAAAGCCACTGCACACCGCACGAAACGACCCGAAAAGCCCACAAATCGTGGGACCAGACGCGAGCGAACAGAGCGAGCCTCCCCCCCCTCCCATTGTCCCGTCAATGGGACGAACTGCGAAAGTGCTAACGCACCTTACGAGAACCTAAGCGGCGTACAGGGCAATCCCCGTACTGAACAGAGAAAGATGGAACCGGACGCGGTGCCCACCCCTAGTCTGACACCACTGGCCTACCACGACGGGAAGAGCCCCGAACCCTTGCATGACCCTTCCGGAAACCCCCCCCACAAGCCCCCCCCTCCTGGAGAACTAACAAGTCAGACATAGCACGGCAACTAGCCAAAGCCGCCTGTAGATACTGCACCACAGCCGATTCTGCAAACAGCAGAGGACAATGACAGGACATAGGCAAAGACAACCGAAGAGTCAAGGCCCAAGCGGATTCTAAAGAAAAAGCAAGCACCGCATGTAGACACACGAGTTGAGAAGCAAAAAACACGAAACCACATCCCGTAAGAGTCGCGCGAACAGCCTCAACAATCCAGACGATGTACGCACCACTAAGGGCAGAGCACCAGACCCAAAGGTGGCCCCAAGCGCCTTCACATCCTACTCAAACCAATCCGAGGACAGCTCGAGGAAGGAGAAAAAACTCAGGGCCAAAGCTAGCAGGCCACGTGTACGCAAATCCTCTGCGACCAAGGCAGCCGAAAGGGAAGGAACCTGCACATGAAGCTGCCTCATACCAGCATCCTGCTGCGGGGCAGAGGCGAACATACAAGCATTGAGATGCTTGAAGTTGTCCTCCACGAAAACCTGCAACGCCGTCTGAGCCTCCCTCCACTTAAGCGCGCAGGACTAACAGAACGTGTGCCAAGTCTCCAAAGAGAGGGCAGTCTGCCAATCAGGACAACTACGGAACTTCATAACGAACCCAGTACGGACACGAAGATCCATACACGAAGGAATGAGGATCCATCACGAAAGCATAAACTAGGTCGGGCAGGAGGTAAGCCGCAAGGGCTTCCCGCACCACTTGTGATGGAATGCAGGAAGCCGAAAACCTCTGGAAGGACGGGACCGAAGAACCCATGAGATCACAGAACCGAATCCGGGGGAGGGATAGACGCCAAATCCAACTCATACGAGGAGGGAGCGAAAGAGAACCCCCTCTCCTTGAAACACCAAACCCCGCTCCAAGGGTATAAAAACCCAGGTCCAACGAAGTCCAAGGCCCCCCAAGTCCACCCCTCTCCTGCCCGGGAACCTCGCACTAGGACCTGGGGCCAAGCTGGCTTCCAAACCCCCCACCTTTAAAGAAAAGGCGGGAGCAGCTGAAAAAGCAGGAACGAAGGGGGGGCCCACTGATCAGACTCAGAAGCTCCAGCTGGAGGACTAGGTTTGAATACCTTCGCCGCAACCCCTGAAGGGGACTCCCCCCGAGACTGCCCGAGTCTCAACACCTGCCCCGACTCCGAAATCCTCAGACATTTTAGAGGCAGAAGCATGGGAGAAGGAACCGGATGCACAACAGAAGGGAAAAGACTAGGAGGGGCGGACGGAACCAGAGCCGAAGTGACTCCCACCCCCCATATCCAGGCCCCTATAACTAAAACGGGGCAGTCTCGGGGCATTCGGGGCCACAACCAACCTAGCACGTTGCAGCAACCTGAACCGAGCATGCAATGCAGAAGCTGCTACCTGCACCCTCATTTCATGTTCAGTAACTTGGGTGAACTGGAGTATGTACAGACAACAAACATCGTACAACTCCTGGTCAAAAGAATCACCTACCCAACAGGCTGCATGGCAGAGGCACAAGCGGCGAGTGTCACCCTGAGACAAGGGGACAGCAACCTTCAATCTCACATGAAGCAAGAGGGGACTCGAGGGTCACATCCATCAGACCACGGAGCCCCTGCGAGATTTCCCAGGGCCCTTAGCCTTTTTATCTCGCTAAGGGAAGCTTAGGCAGGGTACTGCTAACCGGCGACCAATTCTACCAAACTCCTAAAAGCTGAACCCCCGGGATGTGTCCACTCACAGGGGCTTAGCGGGGAATACCACCAACACACTGAGGAAAATACACAGACCCCAACAACAGAGAGGGGGAGGACAAAGGCAGAAACCCCCCCCCCCCTTCTTCCCCACCAAACAGAAACAACAAAAACAAAAAACAAAAACGCAAGAGGCAACGTACCCGGGCAGAACAGAGCCGGCCACTATAATAGGTGATAACTAGCTGTACAGTACCCTGCGCCCCTACTAGTAACAAAAACTACCTCCTACCCAGAGCAACAAAACCCCAGCTCACCCCAAGGGCAGCCAAGTACTGAGCAATAAGACACAGCAGAGGTGGATCCCAAGGTGACTTGTGGAAGGAGGCCCCAAGAGCAGTACTTACTGGGCACCAATGGAAGGAAACCTTAGGTGCATACAGCCTGAGTACTATGGAATAATTCTCCTGGCTCACACACCACCTGTAGAGACAGCCCACACCACAAGGCACAGAACTGAGACAAAAAGCAGGAGCCAGAGGTACATGATTGCTCCAGAATCGCATCAGCCAAGAACTGGTGGTTGGAATGCCGGTGCGGGGGTCTGGGGCTCATCCTTCCCCCTCCCGGGAGGGATGGGGAGGGGGCAGACAGCGCCGCAGCAACATGATGACATCATGCTAGTTTGTTAATTTTCATTTGAGAAGTTCTGTCCACTCGTTCGGCTCCCAACCACAAGGGGGTTTCTACAGGCCATTGCTCCTCACACCTCTCTGAGGGGGCCAGGTTCTGGCTTGTAGTCCCCGGTAGGCAAGAACTCCATGCACATTGAGTGATGCCAGAAAGTTATACATATCCATTCAGCCTGGATAGCCCTGGATATCCGGGGAGCTCACGGGGCTCCCCCAGAAAAAGAATTCTTATATAGTGCTCTTTTTGTAATGTATGCATTACAAAGGTGTTTGTTTTAAATAATAAAAGTAAAATCTTAACCTTTTACTCACAAAGCATGACCAATGTGTGCAGAATCATATACAGTTGGACCACAAGAGTACCACGTTAGTAGACCAGGATGTACAGTTTTCAACGGCACCTGAAATAATTATTACAAACTCTCATGAAAGTGTCATAATATGACATGCACTTAACTAATATCTTGAGTGAGAGAGAGACTCAAAACTATTCCACACTTTCACCTAAAAAATAATTTTGTAATTTCACTGTCAATCAACCATGTTTTTAACTTCTGATCTAAATGCTTTTATCTACCTAAACAATACACCGTTCTGTAATTCAAAGCAGATGATACATTACAGTAATGTTCACAAGTTAAATAAAAAATATATTTGAAACTTTCTACATAGTTACTGTTCTACACATGACAGGAAGATGAGGTGGACTCACTCAAAACAGACTAGTCCAGCAGAAGGTCACATGTATCAGACAATAAGAGAAGCAGTGTGGCTGAACAGGTATTAATATATTCACTGGACCCCAAAGGCAGCACAAAACTTAAACAAATTCAACAAAATATTCTCTTTAGTTAGATCACATTATCTCTAAGCCTGGACAACCTGCAGGGGCAAGACAATGACGAAAGAGCAACCACATAAAAGCATCCGTTCAACAGCCCAAGAAGTCTCCATTAGACTGCTAAGACTTGGCGAGATCTCATAGTTGATGAAGACGGCTATCTTAGAGCTTACAACAACCCTAGCCAGTAACAGATGTTAGAACAACTAGTATACTTACCAGACTCCAAAATGCAAAACAAAAATGTTAATATTTTATATAAACCATGCATACAAGTAACTGAAATCCAGAATGACTAAGGAACATTACAATGAGTCATGATGTATAAAGAATGTACAGTGTACATAAGTAAATGATGTACAAAATACATGAACATTCTCATTACTTCTCACCTTTGACTTACTGGCACTGTTGTACAGAGTGACACCAGTGTCATATCCTTCTGGTAGAACCCACGAGACAGAGGAACACCAGTGTTTACCTGCAAACATTGGTGACAAAGTTTTTTCGTTATTCATTGAAATTCCATGAACAAGTTTCAAAATCAGATGATCACTAAATTTTTAAACACAATGCCTCTCACTTACAAATAGATATGGCCAGATTCTGAGACAAAAACCACTTACTAATGTACTCAGCTTCTCATGGAAATGGAAAAACATGGTGTTACAGTGGGGCCTCGATTTACGATGGTAATCCGTTCCCAGAGACATATCATAAGTCAAAATATCGTAAGTCAAAGCGATTTTTCCCATAAGAAATAAAGGGAATTGGATTAATTCGTTCCACACCCCCAAAAATATTAACTTAAAAATACATATGTTTATCTTACCTTTATGGAGAACTCTTGATACGTATGGAAGATGGTGAGGAGGGGGAGGAGGAGAGGTGTTACTGTTTGGAAGGGGAGTCCCCTTCCATTATAACATCAGGCAGTGATAACTTCTCTGGGGTATACCCTCTCCTACGTTTTGCCTGCATACCACTAGGACCTGGTTGTGATTCACTGCTTGTTTGTCTCACTAAAAACCTTTCCATAGATTTTTGTTTTTCCAAACGTTTTCATTTTTGTCTGTAGTGAGGCATCACAGTGTCATTAAAAAGGTTAAGGCAACGGCCTACTGCACCTTGATTTGGGCGAGTCGTTTCAGCAAAAGTTTGCAATTCTTCCCATGCTGCACACATTTTCTTAATTAATGAGGAAGGGACATTCTGTACTGTCTTCTCTGCTGAAGAAATTTCCTCAGCTGTTTCTTGTTGCTGCTCCTTGTGAAGTTCTTCGGTGGTCAGTTCTTCGCTGTGTTCCTCCACCAGCTCGTAACACACAACACTCGGAACAATATGAATGCCACTTCTTTTTCTAAATTTCTCAAACCATCCCCTGTTCACCTTAAACTCTTTCGCATTTGCATCACTCGTTCCAGGGGTTTTCTTTAAAAGATCTTCATGCAATTTCCTTGCTTTTTCACAAATGATGGCATCTGAAACTCTATCACCCGCTAACTCCTTGCTGTGTATCCAAATTAATAATTTAAAAATCAAATAATTTAAACATTAAACTGTTCAACATCCTCAAGTGTTTGTGTTCTATGTTTCGTAATTATTGATATGCCTTTTGCCACTTTAGCACTCATAATGTCCTTTTTCTTAGCAAGTATGGTGGATATCATTGACTGAGATTTGTTGTACTGCCTAGCTAGTTCAACAACCTGCACACCATCTTCATATTTACGAATGATCTCTTGTTTTTGCTCTATGGTCATCCTTACATGGTTTTCATATGTTGAACCTTATCACTGACTTTCTTGGGACCCATGGCATGATATATAATAATCAGTTTTATGTTCAAAAATAAAAAAATCACCACAAAAACTGAATTTCTTATAGGCGTGATCCTCACTAAGCAGGCAGCTCTAGTAAACGGAGGGAGGTCGGCCCGAGTGACCGGGAACCACGTGCTCGGTCAACCCAAACGAGTACTGTACCAACAAATATCGTTAGTCGACGACACTATCATAAGTCGAGTCGCATTTTTCGATCAAATTTACATCGTAACTCGAAATTATTGTAAGTCGAGGTGCCACTGTACTATATTTAACAAGAATGATGCGCAATGGAAAAAAAAACGGTAAATGTAATGAAATGCCATTTTCTGGGTGAGACCCGGAGGCTTCCCGGAGCTATACCGGGCTAATGTGTATATATATTAGACCGTGGCAACAATCAATTGATGGAGTTCTTAGCCTACCGGAGACCACGAGCCAGAACCTGGCCCCCTGAAAGAGGCACGAGGAGCAATGGCCCACAGACACCCCCCATGTAGTTGCAAACAATCTATGTCTGCCATCTACCAGCTCAGGCACCCAGAAAGGTAGGAATCCCAAAACAAAATACAGCTGGTTAAAAATTGCAAACCGAAAGTTGAACGAGCAAGCAAAACTCCCCAATCAGAAAACAAGCAAACAAGTATGACATCACCACAGCCGCCACGCCGCTGTCTACACAGCTTCCCCATCCTTGGGAGGGGAAAGGTGGACCCCCATTCTGCACTGGAAATGGCAGAAAGCCGCAACCGGACACAACACATGATGCACCCCCGGCCAGACCAACCAAGCATTAACAACCCAGGGACCCCTCTGGAAAGTAGCAGTCTCATTCCTCGCCAGAAAAGGAGGAGACAGCTGCAAACTAAGAAAGCAACTACCAGAACCAAAAGAGCAGAAGCAACCGTGTCGGAGGAGAGCATGAAGCTCCCAGAGCCGACCCCCAGAGGCTAATGTCATCAAGAGCCTTCGCCAAACAAACCTGAACCGAAGGGGTCACCACAAACTGAGAAGACAGGAAGGAGAACACCTGGTCCAACAACCAGGATGGCTCAGGCGGCACATGAGCAGGCGAGAGGTAAAACAACGCAGGAGACAACTTGTGGAATGGAGCAGAAATAACATCAATACCGAATGCAAGCTGCAGCGGCTCCGCCAGCGCCGCACGATACAAGGCGACAGTATTCAGCATAAGATGACAGTCCTGGAACAATCACAAAAGGAAGGACAAGACAACCCCATCCGAGACAGAAGTACACCTACACAGCGATAAGAAATAACAGAAAGACCACCAGGAAAATTCACACCGCCTCCAAGACGAAGCACGCAGGTGGGACACCACCAACGAAGCCACTCGCGCACCATACAAGTGATAACAGACTCGAGTCAGAAATCCCAAACGCGAAGACTCGAGGAGAAGAGCGAATCAGCCACGTACCAAGCTGGATCGATCTGCTGAAAGAGACGGAGCTGCGGGAAGACCCTCGGGTTCAAAGACCGAGCAAGCAGAGCCCGAAACCAAGGCGGGGCCGGCCACCAAGGGCCAAAAGGACAACTCTCCCCTGGTAAGACTCTATGCGAGCCAGGATCTGGAGCAACAGCTGAACGGGGGGGGGGGGGGGGGGGGGTATAGGCAACCCCGCCTCGCCTAGTCCTACCTGAAGGCATCGACCCCGACGGTCTTGCTTCGGAAGGATGCCACATATAATGGGAGATGCCACAACCATGCCAACGCAAAGAGGTTCACTTCCGGAGGCCAGTACATCCGGCAGAGCCAACTGAATGAGTCGGCGCCAACCGTCCATTCCATGGACAGGAGAATGATCCGAGATCGGCCATCCGCCAGGATGTTGGACACCCCTCCTCCCCTGAACGTGAACGGCCAGGAGAGCCAAACCCCGAGAACTCAGCAGACGAGTCACCCAAAGCGACCAGCCTTAATTAATTAATTAATATTTATCACTTTTGCTCGGTAAGAACTCGGCATTGAGTCCTCCATTAAAATATTTACCAAAAATCTGGTTTTTATCCAATTTTTGGGGGACTGATTTTAAAATGCACGCCAAAGTGCCGCTTACTCCACGATGTTAGCAACCGGAAAATAGACTAAACATTTGTGGGCGGGAATTGGGGGTGTAGCGGGTGGGCATCTGGGCACTTCCTCACGGGTAACACTTGGCCCATCTTCAACTTGTCGGCGGGTGGAGCGTGACCAGATTTTTTATTTTATATGCATATATTCCTCTAGAGAATTCTATTGCGAACCCATTAATACCAAAATGAAAGACCTAGAACGAAAATTGAGGTGACCAAAGTGTAAAGAGTGTACACATTTTATCACTCTTGAATGCTCCCGGGTCACTCGCTCGCATTTTCTCTGTTTGCTGCTGGTGGTAAGCCGGGCTTTTGGAGTTTATATGCATTTACTCCTCTAGACAACTCTATTGCGAACACATTGATACCAAACTGAATATCATAGAACAAGAATTGAGGTGACAAAGTTGAAAAAGAGTGTACACTTTTCACAATTACCGCGCGCTCCCGTGGAATGCCCAAACCCACCGGGGGTAGTGGGGAGGTCGTGCGCCCAGAGCGCAAAAGTGTTAAGAGCCAAGGACCGCATCAGATGCCAGCGGTTCAGGCAATGAACCACTGAGGAGCAGTCCAAATGGAGCCGGACCGTCGACCCGCGAGCGACCCAAACCCTCTGAAGCGACATCCACACAGCTGTGAACTCCCGCACCGTGCTGTGAGCCCGACAGAAGGACGGACCCTACCGTCCCTGGCCAGCCTAGTGAGCACTGGTCACAAAGCCCCAGCCAACAAACGAAACAACCGCAACAAACGCTCGGTGTGTCCGTGAACACACCGAGCAAGGGCTCGGGGAGACACCAAGGCACTGAACCCTGAAAAACCTGAAGAGGAAGCCGGCGACGCAGCAACCGACACAAGACCCCCGGAGGCCGAACCCAACGATCGTGAGAGAGACAGAAGGAACGTCCCCAAAGAAACCAGAACAGCCAACAAAGTTGAACCTGACCCAGCAGGTAGACCACCATGGCAAACTTCAGGCCCCAGCACCAACCCTCGAGCAACCGTCTCATGACCCGGGAGCCCCCCCCCCCAGAACAGGTGAAGACAGGACCACAGCCAAAGCAGAGCCTCTGGAGGGAGAGACAAGGAAGCAATCCGAGCGTCCCACTCAAGACCCAGCCAAGACCGAACCTAAGAGGAAACCGGATGGGACTTCCGGCAGTTCACCAGGACCCCACCCGGTAAGCTAGGAAAGAACCAAATCCCTGGTGAGCAGACACGTGGATCGACTGGGACCCCACACCAGCCAGTCATTGAGGTAGGCCAGAACCTGAACAATGAAAAGATGCAGATGGGCCACCATGACACGGATAAGGTGCGTGAAAACGCCAGGTGCCAGATTCAAGCTAAATGGAAGGCAATGAAAACAGTCACCCTGACACCCCACAACAAAACTGAGCCAGTTCTTGAAACTCAGAAGAATCGTGTCATGCCAATAAGCATCCTTGAAGTCCAGGGTCACCATCCAAGAGCCTGGCTCCAAGAGAAGACGGACCTGGGACAGAATAGTTATCCGAAAGGAGGGAACAGAAACCCACAGGTTCAGACGGGACAAGACCAGAAT